AAATATCTGTTGACACCTTTATTACATTTAGAGATGTATTTATGAAGATAGTTGAACTAATTATTTCTATATACACAGTCGTTTTTCCTTATTATATTTTGGATCACCCCCCTTTTTGCCCCCTTCGCTTATTTAATTTATGCAGTTTTGCAGAGAATGTTAGTTCAGATCTTTGATTAATTCCTCCTTTCTTTAGACAGAGTACCATTTTTTGCCTTGTATCTATAGCCATACTCTTTTTCAGCAGTGTTCTCAGACATTCTTCTCCTAACCTATTCCTTTAATCAAATCCCATCTTTACTTTAGCAAGCAGCACAAATTGTCCTCTTCTGCTTTGGTGATACATTTTTAAAATATACAGGTTGACCAAATTAATGCTGATTAATAAAATCTGCAGGGGAGTCATGTGGTTGTGTAGAGAACTTTCTCTATGACAAAGTCTGGCTCCATTTCATAAATGTGCATATGTGAAAGGCTGTAGACGTAGCTGTCCAAGAACAAAGCTTGGGCTCCCTGGGTTTGAATTTTGGCTCTAGCTCTTATTAGCCTGATAACCTTGGGCACATTACTTAGCTTCTCTAGTAATAACTTTTATTTTAGCTGAAGAGCTTTAAATCATTCTTACTGTGTGCCAGGCATTTTCTAAGTGCTTTCCATGGATTAACTCTTAATCTTTACAACCACTCTAAATTATCTTCATTTTACATATGAAGAAGTGAGGCTCAGAAAAGTTCAATAATTTGGACAAGCTAGGAAATAGTGGGCCAGACATAATGGGAAGTTTGTAATAAGTGCTTCTTTCCTCATGCTTCTTTTTCACTCTTATCTTCCCCTGCCTTCCTTCTCCTGGCCTTTCTCTTCCCCTTTTCCCATTTTCCTATCTTCTCCTCTCTCCCCATTGCCTCCCCTCCCCTTCAGTATTTTTCCCTACTCCCCCTTTTCCTACCACCTTTCCCCATTCTGCCCCATCCTCTTCTCGTTTCCTCTCCCCTCCCACCCACCGCCTTCTCCTGTATCTTGTTACTTCATTGTATCCTTTTTTTTTTTTTTAAAGATTTTATTTATTTATTTGACAGAGACAGAGACAGCGAGAGCAGGAACACAAGCAGGGGGAGTGGGAGAGGGAGAAGCAGGCTTCCCGCCGAGCCGGGAGCCCGATGTGGGACTCGATCCCAGGACCTCGGAATCATGACCTGAGCTGAAGGCAGTCACTCAACCAACTGAGCCACCCAGGCGCCCCTTCATTGTATTCTTAACCAACATTTGTGTACTTGGTGCTAACACATCATGTTTAAGCATATTTTCTAAATATATCAGCCTCCCTCTTGACTATTACATGTGATGGATCTTCAGCTTACTAATTAATCCTGGCTCCTGTTGAACTGTTATTTTGTCATTAGTGAGTGGCAAGTATGGTAAGAGTTAAATGTAAAAGTCAAAGGAGTCCACACCATTTATTGAGCGTTTGGAACACCTTTACATACCAACCAATCAGTGCCATAGACTGAAGATACCAAGATGAGGTGTACGGGTCTGATCGAGGCCAACAGTGAACAGAAGTATGGTCAGTGGAGACAGAATTCCATATACCCTTAGTCACCTTCTATAAGCAATCAGTCCCCAAAGAGTTGTGAAAACATTCTTCCTGAGTAAACTCTATATGGTAACATCATATCTCTGTATCTGGGAAGTGTCATCCCCAGTAAGTACCTCTTCAGAATGCCCAAGTACCATGGCAGCCCATGCCTCAGAAATGTGAGATGGGCTTTAAATTGCTCTGTCCAAAAGCACATTTCAGCAAGTTTCCAAAACTGCTGTATTCTATGACAAAAAGTTATAATTATTGTAGCTGTCTCAGCCTGTGTATCAGGTGTATTTTTGGCATGAGCCTTCCTAGAAATAAGTATCCTTGTTCATTTTTTTCCTTGTTCATTTTAAAGCATGTATGTTATATTGGAGAAAATTATATTAAAAAGTTAATCGAAGTTATCTTTTATCAATATGTCTGTTTTCCTGTTAATATTTTATATGAAAATATAAGTAAATTTATATGATTGCTTTCCTTCATGATTCACAATATATTTGATAAAAAGAGATCTAATTCTGTTTAAAAAGTATATATCCTAAGGGGACAGACACTAGTTGCCTGTGTGTATCAGTTTTTATTTTTCATTTTTATTTATTGTCAAAATCAATATGATATTTGGAAACTGGCAAGTTGATTCTAGATATCTGAGGGAGTAAAATTTGTAGAGTAATATAAAGTCAGTTTTATGAGGAAGTTGGGTGATTCATACTGTACAGAACCAGAGTCCTAAGTTTAAATGGCTGCTTTACGTGGTGAAGTAGATTGGATACTAGCCATATATACAAAATTCACTTGACTTCTTGGATTTCGATTCCTTACAAAAGGTAATGAGGATATTGAAGGAATGATTCCTTTTACCCCTTGCAGCAATGCCTCATGCTCGCTGGCTGCTCTAAAGAATCCCATAGACTGGGTGGCTCGTAAACAACAAGTACTTATTACTCACAGTTGCGGAGGCTGGGAAGTCCAAGATCAAGGTTCAGTGTAAGATAAGATCTACTCCCTCGTTCATAGATGCTTGTCTTCTCACTGTGTCCTCATGTGGTGGAAGGGACAAGAGAGCTGGGGTTTCTTTTACATGGGCGCTAATCCCAGTCATGAGGGCTCCATCCTCTGACTTAGTCACCTCCTAAAGGCCTCACCACCTAATAACATCATGTTAGGGGTTAAGATTTCAACATACACATTTTAGGGGTACCAAACATTCAGACCCTAGCAAGCAATAATAATATTCTGAGCTCTATATGAGTTTTGTTCTGTGGGTGTTTGAATGTTGTTTGATGGAGGTATTTTAAAGAAACTTTAAAAATCCATGAATTTTCGCAACAGGAAAAACAATGAGGAAAGAGCTAATAGTCTGTTTTTAGTCCTCATGTGAATAGAGTAAAAAGTATTTACCTGAATAGGTATAAAATGAAATTAGAAGTAATGGATATGTGGCCAGGGACGTTTTGAGGAGAAAAGTTTACAGGAAGATAATTGAAACCAGGCAAGTGATTTTAAAACTTAGGTACTTCCCAATTCTGCATTATTCTGAAACAAACTGTTATCTTTTGTACATGGTTGATATTCAGTGAATGTAAAATTTTATTAATTACCAAACATTTCAATAGGTTACCATCATTTGTTAAGAAACCAACCATGAAATCTAAGCACTTTATGCAGTACAGATCATTGTAGTAGAACTTCTTACCATTTGTCTTCGGGACATACAGCTCAAAGAAGAGTTGGTCTAACACAGATTAGTTAATTAGGTTAGACCTAAGAAGTAATATTTCCAATTAAGTTAAAAACTTGAAAAAAATTGCATGAAAGAACAGAGTTAGTGTTGGGTTTTTCATGTTCATCTTTATTAATTTTATCCTGAGTGCACATATAAGGTATTCTGAGTCCAGTTTCTTATTACCTCGGTCCCCGTTGCTCTAGTTCTTACTCTTTGGCCCTTCAGTGACCACGAGGTCCATTGTCCTGTGCTTGAGGCTGCACCCTGCATATGTGGAAAAAGAGGAAATAGGACTTTCCCCCTAAATTTATTAAGAGGGTTGTGGCAGCTTCTGCCCTCTTGCAAGAATCTCTGTTTAAATTCTGTGACCCTGAATCCTAACCCCAACTCACTGGTATAGCAGTAGAATCTCTCTAGGAGCCTGATAGCCTCTGTGTCTTGGCTTTTATGACCTAGAGATTTCTCCAAGTTCTGGGACTTCAACTCTTTCGACATAAAATACTCAGCAAACTAAAGCTCTAGTCTCCTTTTAGCTAGGGATCTAGTCTATTATGTAGCAACTTGGCCCTCTTGAGAAGACATATTGAAGTTTTATTATTCTTTTGAATCAGAACAATTAACTGGATAAATGCGTGCAGATCTAATTCTCATGGGATGTGAAAAGTAGAATATTTCTGAAGGATGAAGGTAAACATTCCCTTCTTTACATAATGTATTTTTCAGAGGCTCTGGGGGCTAAGGCTTTTTGTAGGAGCAGTGAGAAATCCAGGGAAGTTTTATTTTTCCACACTTAGGTGTTTTAAGTGGGAAGAAATTCTACCAGATCTTGCAAATGCTTTATGTAAAAATAGTAAAGGATGGCTTATGTACATAGAGTAAGATAGGCTTTCTGGAAGAGTTCTAAAAAAAATATAAGTGTAGGGAAGAGAAATAAGATAATTATGATGTAATTGGAAACATTTGTTTTGGGGAGTTCTCTCCCTCTACCTAGTAACCGTGACTTGTAGTATTTCAAACCTGTCGAGAAGCCTCCTGTTTCTAGAAGTGTCAACAGGGCATTTGGAAAATGTCTTTGAACTGACTCCTGCTCTGCAGAGAATGCGTAATCATCCTCCTCATCTGTTCTGTTCAAATTTGTTGAAGTTCTGAACTTGTGTGAGGGCAAAATAATGTAAAGGTTTGTATATATGTAGAAAGTAATATGGAAAGATTATGAGTGTTGGTGTTAGGGTTTTTGAACTAGGAGTTTTTTATTTTATTTATTTTTAAAGATTTTATTTATTTGAGAGAGAGTGAGAATGAGTGAGAGAGAGAGAGAGAGAATGAGCAGGGGGGAGGGCAGAGGGAGAGGGAGAAGTAGACTCCTAGAGCAGGGAGCCCAATGTGGGGCTCCATCCCAGCAGTCCAAGATCATGACCTGAGCTGAAGGCAGATGCTTAACCGACTGAGCCACCCAGGTGTCCCTGAACTGGGAGTTTTTAAAACCAATAATCTTCTTTAATCTTTATTTTTTAAAGCAGGATAAACATTGACTGACAGTGTGACTAAGTTGATGAATTAGTCGGGTATGTGGAGTCGTAACCACACTATATAGAAACCAAGAGTATAAGACATCCTCTTGGCATAGTTTTAAAGGTTAACAAACAAGTAGTCTTAATTAGTTGACTTACTTGGAATTCTTTGTTTCAGCTTTTTGCCTGAATTCATCAGTGGAGACTTTGATTCTATTAGGCCTGAAGTTAAAGAATATTATGCCGTCAAGGTAAACTACAAACACTTTTATATTTAAGATCACATATGATTGCCTTTCTTACGTTCGTTCTGGCTTCCTTGGTGTATGTGTAGGGATTTAGAGACTCTTTGTTTGGTTATTAAAAAAACTATAGCAATTGTAATACACATTCAAATAGAGATTTGGAAAATGACAAGTGGAAACACAGTCTTAGTAATTCTTCACCATCAGATATTCATTAATGCTTAGTCCTTCATGCATATATACTTTAAATGAGTTTATATAGGCTCATTTAATATATACTATTACTGCCTACAACCTCATTAGTTAATATATATTTTTCAAGTCATTTTTAATTTCCTTTAATGAATATACTGTATTTAATTTAACCAGTTCCCAATTGACTTATATTTGTTTTGTCTATTTTTTACATTGTAAACTAGTAAAAACAGCCTTGTAAATGAATGTTTATAAAAATGCATAATTATGTGTCCCTAGAATTTGAGAACCACAGTTTTTTTTCTTTAATTTTAGTTTTCTCGAAACTGTTATTACTCTGTACTGAATAAAACTATTCATTACAACTTGAAATTAATAATGACACACAGCTTATTAAGGTGTTCATATTATCACTATTATGCAAACCTTCCGGAGATCCTTGCCACAATGAAGAATGTATAGATGATCTAATTGAGAATGATAGAAGACACATAGGAATGTATTACAGTAATAAATAATTTAAGCTTTCACTGGTTTTAGAGGGCAATGCAGAGTTTTTAAAATAAAAATTAGAGCTCAGCAATTCTTCTAGCCACAACACCATCATCTGTGTTATTCTGAATTGGTATTAGCAAATAACACACAATTGTGAAATAAACAGCAGTTACTGAGATAAAAATTTAAATTCTTTATAAGGCGTCAGATGAGTGAGGTAAATTCAGAAAGAAGAAGGGGAGGCAACCTTTCATAGGAAGGAAAGAAAGAAGGAGAGAGGGAGGGAAGGAAGGAAAAAGGGGGGGGAAGGAAAACATTCTAGATGGGGAAACAGATACCAAGTTTATAATGCATAGGCTGTTATGATTTGGAAATTCTAGGGCTGGCAGTGAATGCAGATCTGGGCATGTTCCCTCTGCCCACCAGCTGATGAGATTCTCTATCAGCAAATGAAGACTGTTCCCAAGTCAGTGTTTGATATTCATGCTCAATTACTTTAACATTGGCATCTTTCTGTTCATTCCCCACAGTCTCACTTCTCATTAACTCCATACCTCAACCTCTTTGGGATGGAAAGCCTTCAGCCTTGCTTACAATGCAGAGTTTTACAAATTCATAGATATTAATCATATTTTCGGAAGCAGAAGAAACAGCAGGAGAGGTAGGAACAAACAGACCTAGAAACAAGTTGAAGATCTGGCCAGATGTGACTTTTCTCCCCCGCTCTTTTTTTTTTTTTTTTTAAGATTTTATTTATTTATTTGAGAGAGAGAGAATGAGAGACAGAGAGCAGGAGAGGGAGGAGGGTCAGAGGGAGAAGCAGACTCCCCGCCAAGCAGGGAGCCCGATGCGGGACTCGATCCAGGGACTCCAGGAACATGACCCGAGCCGAAGGCAGTCGCTTAACCAACTGAGCCACCCAGGCGCCCTCTCCCCCGCTCTTAAATGCTGCTGGCTTGCCAGAACTGGAAGTGTCAATCCAATAATTCCTACCAGGATGGGGAAACAACAGGAAATGAGGGGAAGCCAGCTCCTTAATGTCTAAGTTCAGTGAAATGAGGTCAAGGATAAAGGAAAATTTTGAGTTAACTACTATTTGATGAATTTTCTCTTATAACTTCTTCAATTTTTTTAACCTCAAAACTAATTTTTATTTATTAAGGCTTAATTTTTAAAGTAAGATTAGCTCGTCTCATAATTCCTACATTGCATAGTTATAACTTGATATAGTGCAATCCAGTTTTTTCAAGTATTGATGGGAACTCACAGCTTTGAACTTTTCTGATCTGTTCCCAGAGGGCACCAATGATGTCTTTTATATAGCTAATGTGCCCTATATAGCACATGGTGTTTAGCTACAGTTTTAATAATGGTACTAATGACAACAATTTAATGCAGCATCTCGCACAATTCGTGTAAGCCATTATCTCCAATTTAAGTAGTCTTTAAGCTGCTCTTTTACAAATGAAAGAAGGTTATCTCTGCTTTCAAATACTTTTTTTTTTTCTCCTACCTGATCTGGGTTTTCAATGAAGCTGAAACGGCTCTAGTGAAGAAAGTAAAATAAAGAAGGAATTTAAAATGCTTAAGTTTGTTAAAATTATAAAGTGGGTTTTGTAGCCAACATTTATTCACACAGTTTTTCCCTAGTAGATATGTCTTTGACTTATAGGAAAAACTCAAGCTTGCATGATTATATAAAACTTTATTTTTTAATTTTTTTATTTTTAAGATTTTACTTAGCACGCACCAGCATGAGCAGTGGGAGGGGCAGAGGGAGAGAGAAAGGAACAAGCAGACTCCCCACAGGGCTCGATCCCAGGACCCTAAGATCATGACCTCAGCTTAAGTCAGATGCTTAACCAACTGTGCCACCCAGGCACTCCTGATTATATAAAACTTTAAATTGGTTTGCCTGCCTAATTTCTGAGAACACTAAAATATAGAGTATTTGATTGGGCAGCTTTTAAACAGAATATTTTATATCCCAGATCTTGCCATCTGCATTAGTTATCTATTGTTGTGGAATAAATTATACTAAATTTTAGCAGTTTGAAACAGCAAACAGTTTTTATCTCATACACTTTCTCCAGGTAAGGAATATAGAAGTCGATTAACTAGGTGATCCTGGCTCAGGGTTTCTCATGAGGTTATAATGTAGCTGGGTTTTTCAGTCATTTTGAGGCTCCACTGGGGCTACAGAATTCTCTTCTAAGATTATTCATGTGGTTGCCGGGTGGTCTCACTGGCTATTATTTCTCAGTGGTTAGTGATTGGAAGCATCAGTTCCATGCCATTGGGTTGCTCACAACATGGCAGCTTGCTTTCCAGAGAGGGAAGGGAGAAGGGAGTGAGAAGAACATGCATACAAGACAGCCAGCCCAAGACAGAAGTAGCGGTCTTTTTTGTGACCTAATTTCAGCAGTGATACACCATCTTACCATCTCTTCTGCCAGATGCTGCTAGTCACACAGACCAACCCTTGTACGATGTGGGATCAGACTGTACAAGGTTGTCAATACCAGATGGCAGGAATCCTTGGTAGCCATCTTGGAGGCTGGGTAACACGCCATCTGACTGACTTTGTTCTGATAAAGCCTGAGTGTTAGGCAGTGAGAAAGATGTTTTAAGGATGTCATAATAGATTCTTGGTCTTCAATTAGTAATATATAAGAAGGAAGAAGAAAACATAGTTATTCGTGTTCTCTCTTTGATTCTTCATATGCGTAACCTGCTTCAAGCAAAGTTACATACCAACAATGCAGTCACTAGTCTTTATGTTCATAGGCCTTAATTATTTATTCTTTTGGATTTTGGACATGGAGGGGCGTTAAGTCCACCACTTAATTCCATATGGTCCATAGGAATGCATATGGTATGCCTTTCTTAATTTACTCCATAAAGCTTTCCTTTTCAGATAGAGCTGTAAAATCTTTGTGTTTCTCCTTTTGCCTCTGTGTCTCAGTTCTTCCCTGCATGGCTCATGATATTAGCTCAGAATGAGGAATGTCTCTTACAGATTTTCCCCTTGATAATTTTGTTTATGTATTACGCTCTGAGTCAGTGTTCCTTGATTCAAGGTTAGAATCACATATTTCATCCTTCTTAATTACCCAATCAGTCATGCCCAACACTTTGATTGAGGTGTGGTCTATGGGGTCTTGACTAGATATAGGAAGGGGGTTTTCAAACATGCTTCCTTTATATTTGGGAGATTCAATAACTAGCTGCTGTATTTTAAATGCCTTAAAGAGCCACAGAATAACAAGGTTTTTCAAAAAATTTAGGTGTGTAGGATAGATGAAAATATGTGATAAATATAATGATAAAATGTACAATAATTTAAAATATAATAAAAAATTCAACAATGTCATGTAGCCCAGTTTCCTGATGAAAAAGCTAAGGCCCATAAAGTTTAAATGATTCAAAAGAAAATGGTAGAGCTGGTCAGAGACAGCTCTTGGGTCACTATCCATGTCTCCTACAAGAAGAATTTGGTTGAAGCTGGGGCTCACCTGGCACTACTGCTTGTCAACACACTAGATCTTTGGCCTCTTGGGCAAGTTGCTTGCACAAGGTATTTAGCATCCCTGGGAACGAGTGTCTTCACCTTCAACAGGATTACAGTCAGTGTGTTGACCATACATTGTACCTTCACATTTCGATCATGCCGTTCCCTCCCAGCCTCAATTCTGGGGTGGCAGTAGTTGGGCTAGACCAAGAATGACCAAACTAGTAAGGTATTAAATTAGACAAGAGCTGTTATAGGACATAGGATTGAGCCAAGATAGGACATTGACGAACCACGGTGATTTGGTAATAGAAAATTAGCAAAGGCATAGGTAGCCTTTAAGTATATGAATGTCTTCCTTTGCTACAGATGAGTATTTTGGCATTCCAGAAAGTGTTACTATGAACAGAAGGCCTTGTGCAGACTGTATGGTGAAAATGACTCTAGTTGTAAGTCAGGAATAGGACTCTAGATCTAAGTTCTGATTTTATCTTCTCTGTTAATCCTTCCAAGTGCTGGAATAACACAATATGGTATCACAACAGTGGTAAAAAAAATACTAGAACAAAGGGACGCCTGGGTGGCTCAGTCGTTAAGCGTCTGCCTTCGGCTCAGGTCAGGATCCCAGGGTCCTGGGGTCGAGCCCCGCATCGGGCTCCCTGCTGGGCAGGGGGCCTGCTTCTCCCCCTCCCACTCCCCCTGCTTGTGTTCCCACTCTCGCTGTGTCTCTCTCTGTCAAATAAATAAATAAAATCTTTAAAAAAAAAAAAATACTAGAACATGGTGTGGGCAAAGACCCTGGTAG